GGGGGGGCAGGGGTTTGAGGGTCGGGGTGAGGGGCACCAGCAGGGCTGGGGGGACAGGGGGCTGTGGGTTGGGAGTGATAAGGGGGCTGGCAGGTATGGTGGGGCAGGGGCAGTGAGGGGCAGAGACAGGGCACGGGCATATCACTGCCCCCCCCACAATCATATGCTCCTCCCTCCTCTCCCCTCCCTCTCCCCCTCCCAGGTGTCCTCTTCTTTGATGCAGGAAATATGGTAACCCTACTATATTTATATTACTTTTTTCACTCAATAATTATAATATATTAAATAAGCACAACTGGGACTCTTCTTCACATAGGGACCTAGGCATGTGCCGAGTTTCCCTATGTGTTAATCTAGCCCTGGGATGGGGAGAGATTTTCTGCTGGCTCTCCCCTCTCTGCAGCTAACAGCAAGGGGGGTGTAGGGTCTGTCCAGAAGCCAGTCAGGCCTGAGATGCCACTGGAATATGTTAAGCAGCCTTAGGCACCTGGGCACGAGGCATGGTTTCCATGAGTGCACCAGGTTCCTGGCCTGGGCCAGTGCTTGCTTCTGCCTGTCTTGGCCACCCAAACATTGAATGTCAGTTCAATTTGTTATTGGTTCAAGCTACGAAGCTTAGAAAAACCTATGAAGATTGAAATGATTCTGCCTCGGGATTTTGAACTTCTGTACTTAGCCCAGCTGAGGATCAGGGCCTATGAGACCAAAGGAACATGGTTTTGTCTTAGGTATTTTTCCATGAAGCCTTGGTGGTAGGATTATTGTGGGTGTTCTGGAGCAATAAATCACAATGCTGATCAGATGGCAGAGAAACACAGGCAGGGGAGACAGCAAGGAACAAAAGAGATAGCAGAAGATTAAGTGAGGAATAATATTACGGTGTGACTGATGTTTTTTCTAAAAGGGATGAAATAGTTCTTTTCATCCCTTCAGTTTGACATAGTTGCTATAGAGTTGTAATATATTTGTAACTGAGAAACTATGACCAATAAGATGATCTCTCTGTGGCAAGGCAGTATGAGAACCAGTTACAACTTGATTATTTTGGGTGTGGATGTAATTTAGATTGCTCCAAAGTCCTAGGTAGGAATATGGAAAGGATCTGCCCTGGACATGTTTTTTTAAAAGGAAAACAAACAATGAAAGTGGGCTCTACTTGCTTTTAAGGGCATGTGTAGATGAAATGATATTTCCCATTTATGTTGACGCAACTGCGTTTGTGTTCACACAACCCAGGATTTCCCGCCGCTCTAAATTCCATTTAGCGCCTTAAACTAACACTACTCAGAGATGTTTTAAGTTGCAGTGCTCTCCAGTTATGCAGCTCCAATTGTGGATTTGTTCATCCAAACAGCCAGAGACACCAAAGACTTCTGATTAATCACCTTTGCCATGAGGGAGTGCTGTGCTCTGGCCTTTAGCCAGTAGGTGCTGCTGTGTGTTCTTTTCTACCCTTCTCACTCCTCACCCCTCCCTCCTCCCTCCTTCCCCACTGAACTCACACAAATATGATCCTTATTAATTTTTTCAGAGACTTTTCCAAGGATAGAGGTGAGACTAACTGGCTTATAATTACTCAGGTCCTCCTTCCTCCCCTTCTGAAAGTAGGGCCCACATTGGCCCTTTTCCAGTCCTCTCAGATCTGACCCAAGTGCCATGAATGCTCAAACAGCCTTTCCAGTGGTTTTACAATAACACCTGCCAACTCCTTTAGGACCCTCAGATGCAGCTTATCTGGGACTGCTGACTTAAACACATCCAGTCCATCCAAGTGATGCTGCACCACGTCACAGCCGACCATCAACAGTTGGTGGGCTGGTGTCCCTCTGATGCCCATCTAAGAACCCATTATGAGACCCTTGTTCAGGAACACTGAGGCAAAAAACTCATTGAAGAGTTCAGCTTTGTCCCCCCTGTCTGTCACTAACTGCTCCTAGTTGTTAAGTAGGGGTCCTATGCTGCCTTGTACCTTCCTTTTACTTCCTACATATCTAAAAAATAACTTTTTGTTGTCTTTAATTTCTGTTGCCAGCCTCAGTTCCATAGTTGCTTTGGCCTTTCTAACTGCCTCCCTGCAAGCACAGGTCAAGTAGGTATACTCTTTCTTGGTAGCTTCCCCCTGCTTCCACTGTCTATATACCTCTTTTTTTTGCCTTTAGGCTTCCCTGGATTTCTCTGTTTAGCCAAGGAGGTTTTTTGGCCTCTTTGCCTTCTTTCCCTTGCAGAGGGATCATCTCCCTCTGCCCCAAAGAATTGCTTCCTTTAGGATCAACCACCCTTCCTCAACTCCCATCTTGCCAATA